CTCAGATCAAGATTCGCATATCAACCGGAACAACGTAAGATGGTGATGAGAGAGAGCGCAATAGGACAGCCGCAGCAGCAGCAGCAGGACGGTGGCAGCGCTCGTAATCGGATGATAGAGTCGGACGGCTGGGATCATTCAGAGGGTGGCACTGGTGCGGGTGCTGGTGCTGCAGATTCAGCAGGTTCAGGCGAGTTGACCTCGTCGTCAACAACACCGGCCAGTTGGGCTCTGTCCGCCTCACCAGCCTCCTTACAGTCAGCGTCCAGCTCGCGCTCTTCATCACCAATCACCCAACAACAGCCCAAACACAAACCAAATCAACGTGCTCACTCGTCATCGTCCTCACCTCGATCACAACACTGCACTGGTAATGATTTATTGATAAATGAAATCATGATCACAATAGTAGTCAAATTATAGTTTTAAGTAATAAGTTATAATCATGCTGAATGAATGATTGTCAAATTATAGTTAGTCATGCTTATATTATAGTTATTATAGTTAAATAATAGTTACATTGTAGTTAATTTTATAGGAATATAGTTAAGTTAGTTAAGTAATAATTAAGTAGTTAGTTCTAATTATAGTTAAGTAATAGTTAAATGAATTGAATGAAAAGTAGTTAAATGAATATAATAATGAAATAATCAAATGATGAATGAGTGTAATATGATGAATAATAATATTAGATTGTACCGCTCGAGATGGAATCGTAACGAATCAGAAGCATGATGAGGTGCGTCTGATGCAGATGGACGGCCGTAATATAGTGAGTGTAGATGACATGCTGATGGCAGACGATTTTGGGAATGGTGGGGATGGTGCTGGTGGGTGCGATAGTGAGACTGAGACTGCGATTAGTCACGGCAGTGCTCAGCAGGAGGAGTTGAGGGACGATGAACTGGTGCGTGCTTTACTATTATTATTATTATTGTTATTATTATTATTGTTATTATTGTTATTGTTATTGTTATTATTATTATTGTTATTATTAATATTACTGTTTATTGAGAGGATCTCTTAAGGGAGTGTTACGAGATGATGCGTTGAACACATCGGCAAGGCTGCAGATGTTAGCGACTGAGCAGTCGTCCTCTTCATATGGCACTGCAATTCGACGTGAAACCTTCTTCAAGTTGGTGTTTTTTTAATTAAAATTTTTCGCTTTGTATTCAAGTAATTTATAGTCGAGTGAAGTATTATTACTATGCATCTGATTTTGTTGGATAGTAGTGATTATAATAATAGTAATAATTTATCAGTAATGGAGTAATAATATTAATGATTATAATAATAATAATAGTATTAATGATAATAATAATAATAATAAGGAATAATTTTAGAGAGTTCTCATTTTCACCAGCTGTAACGATCATATTGGATTATGAAGGGAAGCGCGTCAAGACAGAACAAGGCACATTGATTGGTCTGTTGATTGGTTTGAGTAATCTGCAGTGTACGAGACTGGAGTTAAAGGAGTTGCATAATAGGAACGGGATGCTGGGCATAGGCAGGTGTATACAGGTGATTATTATTATTATTATTTATTGTTATTATTTATTATTATTGTTTATTGTTATTATTTATTGTTATTATTATTGTTTTTATTATGTTATTATTTTTGTTATTGTTATTGTTTTTATTGTGATGAAACGGAATTGTAATGAATAATAATTTTGAGTTCGCCGTCAACGAGTGGATTCAAGACATACAAAGCACGCAATTGGGTGATGTTATCGGAAGTTATGGACCGATAACATCGTTGGTGCAGATTGGTGAGTGGTTTTGTGATGTATGGTTGTTGTTTTTATTGTTATTATTATTATTATTATTATTATTATTATTATTATTAT